TCGCTTTCTTTTCTTCACAACCCTCTCCACTCTCCACACAGTGTCTGCAGGCTTGTCTACTCTCTCAAGTGAGACTCTCATTTGAGAAATATTTCAAAGAGAATATTAAAAAAAATGGACTGAGGAAATCTTTATTATTAGGAGACGGTACTTTAGAGATGGTATAGCGGTTTTTAGGTTTGTCAGCACCATACCCGTGCTCGTGGGTTTCACCGAAGTGACAAACGTCTGAGATCTGCATCACCTCGGGCTTTCCTCCCTCATTTAGCTGACATGCCGTGATATAACTGGAATACTCTTAAAAGCGGCGTTAAATTCAACTCAACTCACTCACTCTAATACTTTGTACCATGGACCAGAGGCCTTTATATCTTGGAAATAAATCTTTCGTTGGTGTTGTTGAGAGACATTTCTGTGTTTAAAATATTCGCTGATCTGTGTGTGAAATGATGAGATCGTTCTTACTTCGTTCCTATTTGCAGTATCATGATCACAACTTGCCGATATGTCACACCCTGACAGTCACAATAGTTTTCGAGTTATCATGGAATGTAAATGTTTCTCGGAACATGAAGTGGTGATTTCGGAAGAGGTACAATATAACCACTACCTGTGACAACCACAACCACTAGATGATGAAAATAATCCGGACGATCCCCATCTTGGACTGGTTACAAGTGATTGCAAAACACAGATTGGTTCGTTTGTTTAGTCTATTTTCTCATGACACATACGTATGTTTTATGATACCTGGACTGACTGCTGGCATACATTATGCAATAACAGCTACATGTTCTTGTGAAATGAGTGACTGTAGGTGAGAAAATAGCGTTCTGGTTAATTAGCTCCTATTGGCTACAAAGATCAATCGATGTCTATCTTAACATCAGCACGGATTGAGGGCACGGCCCCTAGAATTTCAAAAGGAAGATATATTTCGCTGTGAAAAGTATAAATAATAATTCACGTCAAATCAAGGTAAGTTGACACATTCCTACTAGCCATGCTCGAGACATACATGGAATTCATACCAGTGTTATATATACAACGCATGCCTCCCAACAACTAAGGAACAAATCGCGTATATTCTGTACCCGGCTGGTAGTAAAACCCAATCAGCGTGCAAGCCTAACCGACCATGCTAATTAAGCCACGCCTCCTCGTTAGCGCTTTTAAGATTCGTTTTAGTTGTGATAAATACAGACCTCAAAATACGTACTTTTACAAACTTACGTTTTTACACATTTCTTCTCCCATAACAGGGCTTGATCTTCAAACGCCAGCAGTGGTTTATTTTTATTCACCCAATCTGATTGGCTGGCTGAGAGTGAAGAGCTGTGTCATCGCGTTTTGATTGGCTGGCTAAAAATAATTGACGGCACTATTTTCGCATCGGGGATACCCGAGGTCGTCTGGTACAGGAAATCCCCAGCTGGCAAAACATTACTGCAGTGACGATGTTTCCATCTCCGAAAGTTGGTGACCGAGAGAAAATTTGTGGGGGAAGAAGGGGTGTGATATGTGGAGATATATCAAGAATTTCGGCTTCCCAATGTATGAGATTCAGTTGCAGAATGGGGAGACGGTAACCGAAGGTAGATACCGCATCGATATTACGGGACCAGGTAAGCCACTCTGGTATATTCTTTACTGGGCGTTTTCAAGGCTTATAACAAAGCTAATGAAACAGTTAATTAATTCATGTGAAAATACTGATGAAATAGTGAAACAAACCATATTGCTTTTGGTATTTTAAAAAAAAAATAACTATCAACCACATAATAAATGTCACGTTACTACGAAGTGTTGATCTAGGGCCGATCGATCAAAAGCATATATCTCATAGTTATACATGTATAGAGGATTAACCACTGTGTTCGGTTGTTACCGCAAAATCTACAGACGAGTGATTAATCTGTCACGATTAGAACGAGGCTTTGGAAACGAGAAAGCCTCGTTGTAATCGTGACAGATTAATCACTCGTCTGTAGATTTTTCGGTAACAACCGAACACAGTGGTTAATCCTCTATTTCTCTGCCATCGTATTGTACATCAAGCTCGCTTCATAATAATGTAAGAAAAAGCTTTCACTATTTTTCATGATAGTTGCTCTTCAACAAATGTATCTATAAAGATGGCCAGGGAAGTAGAAAGCAAATAATTTATACAAATATCTGAGCATCCCACTCCCATTGCTGATAGTGATGTTTCCAACTGATTGTGCACTGAAATAAATGTATATTTAGATAAACTGCAAGTGATTCAATGGCAGGTGATTGACTAACAAATTAATTAATGTGCGCTTGTTTTCATAAAAACACTAGGCCACGCCCACAAACGTACGACTTTCGAAAACTGCATTATTGTGCTGAACGATGTCATTGATTTCGGTGTCAGTTCTAAAAACCTTCCTTGCATGGTATGATGGTGTCAGTTCATGGTGTGAAGGTGTCAGTTCATGGTGTGATGGTGTCCGTTCATGGAGTGAAGGTGTCAGTTCATGGTGTGATAGTGTCAGTTCATAGTGTGATGGTGCCAGTTCATGGTGTGATAGTGTCAGTTCAAAACCTTCATGGTATGATGTGATGGTGTCAGTTCAAAACGTCCCTTGCATGGTGTGATGGTGTCAGTTCAAAACCTCCCTTGCATGGTGTGATAGTGTCAGTTCAAAACCTTCCTTGCATGGTGTGATGGTGTCAGTTCAAAACCTTCCTTGCATGGTGTGAGGGTGCCAGTTCAAAACGTCCCTTGCATGGTGTGATGGTGTCAGTTCATGGTGTGATAGTGTCAGTTCAAAACCTTCATGGTATGATATGATGGTGTCAGTTCAAAACGTCCCTTGCATGGTGTGACGGTGTCAGTTCATGGTGTGATGGTGTCAGTTCATGGTGTGATGGTGCCAGTTCATGGTGTGATGGTGCCAGTTCATGGTGTGATGGTGTTAGTTCATGGTGTGATGGTGTCCGTTCAAAACCTTCATGGTATGATGTGATGGTGTCAGTTCAAAACGTCCCTTGCATGGTGTGATGGTGTCAGTTCATGGTGTGATGTGTCAGTTCAAAACCTTCATGGTATGATGTGATGGTGTCCGTTCAAAACGTCCCTTGCATGGTGATATAATGTCAGTTCAAAACCTTCCTTGCATGGTGTGATGGTGTCAGTTCAAAACCTTCCTTGCATGGTGTGAGGGTGCCAGTTAAAACGTCCCTTGCATGGTGTGATGGTGTCAGTTCATGGTGTGATAGTGTCAGTTCAAAACCTTCATGTTATGATGTGATGGTGTCAGTTCAAAACGTCCCTTGCATGGTGTGATGGTGTCAGTTCATGGTGTGATGGTGTCAGTTTAAAACCTTCATGGTATGATGTGATGGTGTCAGTTCAAAACGTCCCTTGCATTGTGTGACGGTGTCAGTTCATGGTGTGATGGTGTCAGTTCATGGTGTGATGGTGCCAGTTCATGGTGTGATGGTGCCAGTTCATGGTGTGATGGTGCCAGTTCATGGTGTGATAGTGTCAGTTCAAAACCTTCATGGTATGATGTGATGGTGTCAGTTCAAAACGTCCCTTGCATGGTGTGATGGTGTCAGTTCATGGTGTGATGGTGTCAGTTTAAAACCTTCATGGTATGATGTGATGGTGTCAGTTCAAAACGTCCCTTGCATTGTGTGACGGTGTCAGTTCATGGTGTGATGGTGTCAGTTCATGGTGTGATGGTGCCAGTTCATGGTGTGATGGTGCCAGTTCATGGTGTGATGGTGCCAGTTCATGGTGTGATGGTGCCAGTTCATGGTGTGATGGTGCCAGTTCATGGTGTGATGGTGCCAGTTCATGGTGTGATGGTGTCAGTTCATGGTGTGATGGTGTCAGTTCATGGTGTGAAGGTGTCAGTTCATGGTGTGATGGTGCCAGTTCATGGTGTGATGGTGCCAGTTCATGGTGTGATGGTGTCCGTTCAAAACCTTCATGGTATGATGTGATGGTGTCAGTTCAAAACGTCCCTTGCATGGTGTGATGGTGTCAGTTCATGGTGTGATGTGTCAGTTCAAAACCTTCATGGTATGATGTGATGGTGTCCGTTCAAAACGTCCCTTGCATGGTGATATAATGTCAGTTCAAAACCTTCCTTGCATGGTGTGATGATGTCAGTTCAAAACCTCCCTTGCATGGTGTGAGGGTGCCAGTTCAAAACGTCCCTTGCATGGTGTGATGGTGTCAGTTCAAAACCTTCCTTGCATGGTGTGATGGTGTCAGTTCATGGTGTGATGGTGCCAGTTCAAAACCTTCATTGCATGGTGTGATGGTGCCAGTTCAAAACCTTCCTTGCATGGTGTGATGGTGTCAATTCAAAACCTTTCTTGCATGGTGTGATGGTGTCAGTTCATGGTGTGATGGTGTAAATTCAAAACCTTCCTTGCATGGTGTGATGGTGCCAGTTCAAACCCTTCCTTGTATGGTGTGAGGGTGCCAGTTCAAACCCTTTATAGCATGGTGTGATGGTGTCAGTTCAAAACCTTCCTTGCATGGTGTGATGGTGCCAAGTTGTGATTGCTCAACAACAGTCTTGATAACATATATATATTTGCGATGATTTGTGTGGAGTGTTATGAATATATCTTTGAGCATGTGAAAATGTTGTCAATTAAGTGGGTTTTTGTTATTTGTATTGTTTCTCTGTGTTTTATGGAGTTCTCTTCAGCATCCTGACCAAACTAAAGCGAAAATAATCGATCCTCATTTAGTCCCAAGCATTATGCAACATTATTAAACTCACACGAATAACACCAATATATCATCAGTAAACATGGTATATATCCGGAAATGTGTTAACATGTCAGTAAATGTAATAAGCAAAGTATATGTGGGCGCAATTAATTTGACCGCAAATATTATTATACACCAACTGTTGCAATATCACCGCAAAACTGCGCTCGGATTACTCGGACCCGTAAACGATTACAGTCCAAATATTTACAGTCCGACCGGCGGGGATGTACATCTATCTACGTCACTTCGTTGCATTTTTGATAAAACGCCCTGTCATGTTGAACATGAAATCTATCTTAAAACCTCTTGTCTAATCCGCTGAATAGCTAAGTGCGGCGTTAAACAACAGATCACGTGACCGAATTGTCAACGTACGTGTCCGGGGAAGATGAACGCTGCTTGAAGACAAACAGGGATATGTACACACAGGTGAGTGGAAGCAGACAGGTATATTGTCATGGGGAGATCCGGCTGCAGTGTGGATGTAGCGTTCACACAATGACACATTCAATGCTTTATAATGTTGTATTGTTTAACCACGGGCTTGTATATAGGTCCGTGGCTTAACATGAGGCTTGACACAGGGTTAGGTGTCGTGCATGTATTTGGTATGTTTTAAATTACAGTCTGTTGCAGAGGTAGCGGGCTAGCGTTATCCCCGCTAACAAATTAGAAATGACGCATATCTTTTACTATGGGGGTGGGGGGGTGGTGGTGGTGGTCAAAGGGACCATCTCAATTCTGTTATAAAACAAATATGATACATAATATTTTTTGAAAACTTAGAGATTTGTCGTCAAGATCGTCTGTCTATGCACAAGACCATAAACTAATAATAGTAACAAACAAACTCGCAATCCTTCGGCCTCGTCTTCGAGTTTGTTTGTTATGATTAGTTACATGGTCCTGCGGTCTTAGTTTGCCGACTGAAAACTTCCTGGTTAAAACGTCCTTGTTAGTAACGGGTCCCCTGATTGGCTGAAATTAATTTTACCGAATGTCGTACGTTATCTCGGCGGTTTTCATTGGCTGATGAAATCGAAAGTACATTGAGAGTTGGACCTGCTTGCATTGTCCGAGTTCGCTGAAGGTTACACACAACCAAATTTTTACCCATAGACTTCTATGGTAACGTTATATAAACTGAGTCAAATTAAACACATTTTTAAAAGTAATCCCATATATGATATACAACGGACAAATGTATCAGAGAAGGTAATTTTTAATCATTAATGTCCAAAGAAGGATTTTAATTAACGGTGGTAAACATAATTTGTTCCAAGCACCTACGGTATTCGGTAATAACATCAACAGTTTAAATAATAAGTCCCAAGCACGAGAATCTGATGGCACACAAGTTCAGTAGCGTGTATTGCCACCATGTGCGTTGACAACTGCCACACACCGCCTTCGCATGGACCTTGTGATGCTTGTGAACACATGATTTGGAAGACGACGCCATTGTTGCTGCAAAATGGTGCCAAGATCTTGCAAATTCTGTGGTTGGTTCTGGAGAGTGCGCAGACTTCTGCCAAGAGCATCCCAGACGTGTTCGATGGGATTGTGGTCGGGAGGCCTTGACGGCCAGTCCATGACGTTGACTCCCGCATTCTGAAGGAAATTCCTTGTCAAAATTGCTGTGTGGGGTCTGGCATTGTCGTGTTGGAAGATCAAACCGGGTCCATGTGCTGCCATAAAAGGCAGAAGTTCTGGTGCTAAGGTACCTGGTCGCGGTAAGCAGCAGCGTTGAGGTTGCCACGGAAGACAAGAAGCCTGGAACGTGCATTGCCACAGAAAGCACCCCACACCATGACACTTCCGCTTCGAAATCTGTCAACTTCCTGTACACAACACTGGGCGTAACGTTCATGACGGCGCCTCCACACCCTCGCCCTACCATCAGCAAATCGAAGATTAAATCGGGATTCATCACTGAAGACGACTTGATTCCAATTCCTCTGAATCCATCGTAAGTGTCGCTGTGCCCACAATTGACGTTGACGTCTGTGTAATTGAAAATCGGCCCGCGGTATGGCCGTCGTGCTTGAAGGTAAGCAGTTCTCGGACGGTTTCGAACAGTTTGCGCACTCAGTCTACCCCTAAACAGTTCATTTCTGGTTGATGTAGCCGTCAAAAATCGGTTACGGAGGTGACGTAAGACAATCTGACGATCCTCTGCATGTGACGTCACAAGTGGTCGACCTGACCGAGGGCGATCAGAGGTGGTATCCGTTTGCTGTAGACGCGTCTGTAAATCATAAACAGTCCGTCGACTACAACCCATCGTCCTTGCGACTTCAGCTACGGACGTTCCGGTCTGCAACATGCCGATGGCACGTTCACGTTGCACATTTGAAAGGCGTGGCATGACAAATGGCCGTAAAGACTTTTGTTTTCTTGTGTTTTTCTTTTTTTGTTAATGACTGCTAACAAGTATAGCTGAAAACACGTGCGGTATTATGGCCACGTGACCAGTTGCACGTGGAAAACCACTTTTGCCACTATAGTGCTGTGCACATGATTTTGATCGATTCACCTGCACAAAAACGGGTGTTATCTGAAGACAATACGTGGCCATTACTGTTTAAATACACAATAAGGGCCCACAATGATAACTGGTCAAAATGTTAAAATTTTAGGATTGTGAAGTTTTTAATTTGGTTCAGTATATATGTAAAGTCGGATCTTTATCATTTTAAAAGAGAGGCGGACCACATGCACTGATATATTATCAGCTATGGTGTCATGTGAGTATTTGCACCTGCCTCGGGTATATTTTTCTCTTTGTCTCTGGTTTCATATCTGATATAAATGTTACAAAGGTTGCGATAACGTTACATACACACCGTGAAGTATTGACGATGTGGTGATGACGTTATATACACACCGTGAAGTATAAACAATGTGGCGATGACATTACATACACACTGTGAAGTATTGACGATGTGGTGATGACGTCATATACACACCGTGAAGTATTGACGATGTGGCGATGTCGTTACATACACACCGTGAAGTATTGACGATGTTGTGATGACGTTATATACACGCCATGAAGTATTGACGATGTGGCAATATGGTTATATACACACCGTGAAGTATTGACGATGTGGCGATGACGTTACAAACACACCGTGAAGTATTAACGATGTGGCGATGACGTTACATACACACCGTGAAGTATTGACCTTGTGGTGATGACGTTATAAACACACCGGGAAGAATTGACGATGTGGTGATGACGTTACATATACACCGTGAAGTATTGACGTTGTGGTGATGACGTTATAAACACACCGTGAAGTATTAACGATGTGGCGATGACGTTACATACACATCGTGAAGTATTAACGATGTGGCGATGACGTTATAAACACACCGTGAAGTATTGACGATGTGGCGATGACGTTATAAACACACCGTGAAGTATTAACGATGTGGCGATGACGTTACATACACACCGTGAAATATTGACGATGTGGTAATGACGTTATAAACACACCGTGAAGTATTAACGATGTGGCGATGACGTTACATAGACACCGTGAAGTATTGACGATGTGGTGATGACGTTACATATACACCGTGAAGTATTGACTTTTTGGTGATGACGTTATAAACACACCGTGAAGTATTAACGATGTGGTGATGACGTTACATACACACCGTGAATGATATTTTATGACGTTATTTATACACGATGATAGGGTGAAGAGGACAATCACTGATGCAAAAATTCAACTACCGTATGTCCTCTATTAGACGGATCCATCATTTCATAAAAGGTAATATCCATACCATATTAACTTAACGTGTCTCTGTGCCACCATTATACAGAACACACACCAGTGTATCTAATAAAGGAAATACGATATCTATGAAAATAATTTCGGCGTTTCGAAGTTATACAATCGTCATATATAGTATGTTAATTTTATACACAGATATGACGGCCAAAGTGTTATGAGAGTGATGTACAGTATAATGGAATGTCATGAATGTTTTGGGGGGATACTTTTTGAACACACAATGTCAAAAACCTATCCCCCAAAATATTCACTATCCCAGACCTCTTTTGTTCAGTATAGTTTCATTGGTGAAAAATTATATTGGGGAATGAAAAAAGACTCTCTAAAGTTAAATTTTGTCTTGTATGTTATTTCTCAAATCTACTATGTTAAATTCCTTTCACTATTGTACTACCACAGCTTCGTTTGAGAACTGACGTCACCATCTCTACCTCTCTCATTACTGTAACTTCCCAAAGAATTTCGCTCGCACATGAATGTCTTCTGACTGGCTAGCTCTTTTTAGCGTCGTGTTATTCAAATCGGAATCAAAACGAAACTAAAAGCGAATGAGACTAATGTATTAAGAATAAGATTGAGCTTTTATCCACTGGTCGAGGAAAAGGTGAATAGGGACTTAACCATTAAATCAGTAATTTCCAATAATTTATTTTTCGTTAATTATTTTTCTTATTTTACCCGACGACTTCCTACAACCCTATGGTTTTGGACAAACAAATAGGTTTTTAATGAGTCCTTATAGCAATTTCGAAATCATGTCAGTCAACAAGCTTTTTCCTTGCAGCTGGCATTTTCCTGAGGTTGAACACAGTTGTCTAACGTATCGGCAACTGTAGACAGGATACTAATTGACCAGTACAATGGCCATGGCACAAGAGGACCCCTTGACACAGGATCTCAACTGCCCAATATGTCTGGAACCTATGCATGAACCAGTGACGCTCTCTGACTGTCATCACTCATTCTGTAGACGGTGTCTTCAGCAGTCGATTCAGGGGGCTCTGGGCACGGACAGGGATCCATACGTATGTCCCCAATGTCGCAGTCCTTTCGTCCCCAGTGATGGCAGCAGGGTGAACCACCACCTGCAGAGCATCCTCAACAGTCACCGGAGGGCACAGGAAAGAATTGCTTCTGCTGAAACAACAGAGAAGCCATCCAAGCAAGACATTGATGTAGGTATTACTACGTATCTCTCTCTCTCTCTCACACACACACACACACACACACACACACACACACACACACACACACACACACACACACACACACAGACACACACACACACACACACACACACACAGAGAGAGAGAGACACACACACACACACCTGTATCTCATGCTTATATATGGCTGACTAAAATGAGAATCGGATGCGTCCCAGCTGATTGTTTGTCATCGTGCTCCGGCGATGTAGGTCGATGCTCATTCTGTCATCCACTGGTTTGTCTGGTCAAGACTCGTTAGCTCACTGGCCGCCGTGGCTGTAGTTGCTTACCGTGACGTAAAACAACGTCCACTCACTCACTCAGCTACAAAGACAACGTTACATGTAATATCTGATTTTCAGTTGTAGTTTAGTGTAGTCTATTGTTTTGACAATTCCCAATATATCGATATGAATCACATCTCTGTGTTTATGTCCATACAAGTGCGATCATTTTTTGTCCAGAACCTCACATCCTTCCTGTCTACAGTGGACACGAAGCTTCAGTCCCTGCTGACCACCCTTGATCAATCCAGTATTAGAGTAGGAGGAAGGCAAACGGTGCGAGCTCAGGTAAAGATGAAATGTGTGCCATGTGTGACGTGTCAGGTTGTGTCGTTCTGTTCGTTCACGACGTTAGATAGATTTCACTGCTAGCTAGCGGGGATTGCTTTCTCCGAAGTCCGCACTTCTCGCTTAAGTAGCTCATCGCTACCGGGGACGGTCGGGTAGCCTCGTGGTTAAAGCGTTCGCTCGTCACGCCGAAGACCCAGGTTCGACTCCCGACATGGGTACAATGTGCGACATGTCTGATGTCCCCCGCCGTGATATTGCTATCGTTAGACATTGACGAGTCGTTCTGCTACTTGGTGATCGGTCGAACGTAGGTCGCCAGTAGGTAATTATGGGTCTGTGTTGATCATATACTGACCCACCCCTGGTGATATTGCGCTAAACTAGGGTTTTATATTTAATCACATACCCCCTTTATCTGGTAATCTGTGATTAACTTATTTTCTCAAGATTATCTAACTTAGGTCAAGAACATTTTTTATTGTTGGAAGTCAAGAACTTAGTTAAATATTTCCTTTTTATTCCAAGATACTTTATGAATTATTATATATGTGTTTGGTGCATGTTCTGGTTGGGGACGGTGTTGTGTGTCTGGTGCATGTTCTGGTTGGGGACGGTGTTGTGTGTCTGGTGCATGTTCTGGTTGGGGACGGTGTTGTATGTCTGGTGCGTGCTCTGGTTGGGGACGGTGTTGTGTGTCTGGTGCGTGTTCTGGTTGGGGACGGTGTTGTGTGTCTGGTGCGTGTTCTGGTTGGGGACGGTGTTGTGTGTCTGGTGCGTGCTCTGGTTGGGGACGGTGTTGTGTGTCTGGTGCATGCTCTGGTTGGGGACGGTGTTGTGTGTCTGGTGCGTGTTCTGGTTGGGGACGGTGTTGTGTGTCTGGTGCATGTTCTGGTTGGGGACGGTGTTGTGTGTCTGGTGCATGTTCTGGTTGGGGAAGGTGTTGTGTGTCTGGTGCATGTTCTGGTTGGGGACGGTGTTGTGTGTCTGGTGCGTGTTCTGGTTGGGGACGGTGTTGTGTGTCTGGTGCGTGTTCTGGTTGGGGACGGTGTTGTGTGTCTGGTGCGTGCTCTGGTTGGGGACGGTGTTGTGTGTCTGGTGCATGTTCTGGTTGGGGACGGTGTTGTGTGTCTGGTGCGTGTTCTGGTTGGGGAAGGTGTTGTGTGTCTGGTGCATGTTCTGGTTGGGGACGGTGTTGTGTGTCTGGTGCGTGTTCTGGTTGGGGAAGGTGTTGTGTGTCTGGTGCATGTTCTGGTTGGGGACGGTGTTGTGTGTCTGGTGCGTGTTCTGGTTGGGGACGGTGTTGTGTGTCTGGTGCGTGCTCTGGTTGGGGACGGTGTTGTGTGTCTGGTGCGTGTTCTGGTTGGGGACGGTGTTGTGTGTCTGGTGCGTGTTCTGGTTGGGGACGGTGTTGTGTGTCTGGTGCATGTTCTGGTTGGGGACGGTGTTGTGTGTCTGGTGCGTGTTCTGGTTGGGGACGGTGTTGTGTGTCTGGTGCGTGCTCTGGTTGGGGACGGTGTTGTGTGTCTGGTGCGTGCTCTGGTTGGGGACGGTGTTGTGTGTCTGGTGCATGCTCTGGTTGGGGACGGTGTTGTGTGTCTGGTGCATGTTCTGGTTGGGGACGGTGTTGTGTGTCTGGTGCGTGCTCTGGTTGGGGACGGTGTTGTGTGTCTGGTGCATGTTCTGGTTGGGGACGGTGTTGTGTGTCTGGTGCATGTTCTGGTTGGGGACGGTGTTGTGTGTCTGGTGCGTGCTCTGGTTGGGGACGGTGTTGTGTGTCTGGTGCATGTTCTGGTTGGGGACGGTGTTGTGTGTCTGGTGCATGTTCTGGTTGGGGACGGTGTTGTGTGTCTGGTGCGTGCTCTGGTTGGGGACGGTGTTGTGTGTCTGGTGCGTGCTCTGGTTGGGGACGGTGTTGTGTGTCTGGTGCGTGCTCTGGTTGGGGACGGTGTTGTGTGTCTGGTGCGTGCTCTGGTTGGGGACGGTGTTGTGTGTCTGGTGCGTGTTCTGGTTGGGGACGGTGTTGTGTGTCTGGTGCATGTTCTGGTTGGGGACGGTGTTGTGTGTCTGGTGCGTGTTCTGGTTGGGGACGGTGTTGTGTGTCTGGTGCATGTTCTGGTTGGGGACGGTGTTGTGTGTCTGGTGCATGTTCTGGTTGGGGAAGGTGTTGTGTGTCTGGTGCGTGTTCTGGTTGGGGACGGTGTTGTGTGTCTGGTGCGTGCTCTGGTTGGGGACGGTGTTGTGTGTCTGGTGCGTGTTCTGGTTGGGGACGGTGTTGTGTGTCTGGTGCGTGCTCTGGTTGGGGACGGTGTTGTGTGTCTGGTGCGTGTTCTGGTTGGGGACGGTGTTGTGTGTCTGGTGCATGTTCTGGTTGGGGACGGTGTTGTGTGTCTGGTGCATGTTCTGGTTGGGGACGGTGTTGTGTGTCTGGTGCGTGCTCTGGTTGGGGACGGTGTTGTGTGTCTGGTGCGTGCTCTGGTTGGGGACGGTGTTGTGTGTCTGGTGGATGTTCTGGTTGGGGACGGTGTTGTGTGTCTGGTGCGTGTTCTGGTTGGGGACGGTGTTGTGTGTCTGGTGCGTGTTCTGGTTGGGGAAGGTGTTGTGTGTCTGGTGCGTGTTCTGGTTGGGGACGGTGTTGTGTGTCTGGTGCATGTTCTGGTTGGGGACGGTGTTGTGTGTCTGGTGCGTGCTCTGGTTGGGGACGGTGTTGTGTGTCTGGTGCGTGCTCTGGTTGGGGACGGTGTTGTGTGTCTGGTGCGTGCTCTGGTTGGGGAAGGTGTTGTGTGTCTTCCAGCTTCAAGACGTCCTTGATGTTGCGATGTTGCGATGTTGCGATTGGCAGCATTCAGTTTCGGCATTTTCCCACTTTCAATAAGTCGACAAATGTATGACAAATTGTTGAATGACGTTTGACCTTTTGCAGTCATTGTCACTGCACATGATTGTCACGGCTTGATATATCATTCTGCTTTTAATTTCCTTACCATGACATTTTCGTGTATAAAAATTGCTGTATAAAGCTACAAAAGTGTTAGACGGTTGCGATTTGCACTACACCAGTTGAAGAAAAGGTGACTAACATCGTTCAATCAAAACATTTGCATTTGTATTGAATGTTCCATGAATAAACAAAATCAGCATTCTCAATATCTCCTATGTGTTTCCTTATTTTGAAGAGAGTACAAGTCCATCCTCGGCCATCAGTGGAACAAGTCAACGGGATACATCCATCCAATACTCAAGAACACAACATCGGTAACGATATCAAAAACTTTATGTTTCATCTTTGATTTAAATTGTAATTTACTATGATAGGTATTAGGAAACAGGCATAACACACTGTGAGCCAGCGTGTGCGTGAGTGCATGCATGCGTATTTGGGTGAGCGCGTGAGTGTATGCATAAGTGCGTGAGTGAGCAAGGTTTTACCCCAGAAGTGGGCGTGAATCTAGAAAAATACGAGTCTCTGTTATTACGAGCCGGAGTTTCCGGACATACAGGGTTCGGATGTAAGGGTGATGTGGGTAGCCTTGTGGTTGAGCTATTGGTTCGTCACGCCAAAGACCTTAGTTCGATACTCCACTTTGGCACAATGGTGTTCCCCCGTCGTTAGAGTGGCTAGAACATTGCGAATAATGGCGTAAAACTCTAGCCACTCACTTACTCTACGTAGCAATTATTATTATTCAGTAATCAGTACTATTTCACTGGAGTGAGTGAGTAAGTATGTTTTTACGCCGCTTTTAGCAACATTCCAGCAATATCACTGCGGGGGACACCAGAAAAAGGCTTCACACATTCTACCCATGTCGGAAATCGAACCCGGGCTGTCGGTGTGACGAGCGAACGATTTAATCACTTGGCTACCCATCAGTCTCATTTATTTGCCGTAACAGATTCCACTGCAATAAAATGCAAAATAGCTGTACAAATTATATGAATGGATCACTGAAAATCCGTGATGGCACCGTGTGTTATTAAGAAAGATGTCAGTCTCAATTTTTCTGTTTAATGCTCCAGGTTGTGACTAACTCTGGTACTTTTACTGGATTTATTTTCCCAATTTTTTTTTTTAAAGCTGTGTTTTAAAATGACCAGTTCTGTTTAGATTTAAGATTCTTTTAAGTTTAAATATGCAACCTAAACGCCAGAGAATAATAAGTCTCGACTATCTGCAGAAACTGATTTTATTGGGCGTAAAATAGGGATGACAATTATATGAATTGATCACTGAAAATCGGTGATGACACCAAATAATGTCAGCATAATTTTTTCCGTTTTATGCTCCAGATTGTGACTTTGAAGCAGAATCAGTTGGCGAGTTCCGGGACCGATCTTTGGTAATAATCAAGAAACACTTCCTTCTGATCATGTTTCTCATACACGCATGCGCACTGGTCTTCTGTTTCCTGAGTGTGTTTTGATAATGGTGACACGTGACACGACCAAGTTTACTGGCATGCGTTCAATGGGCCGAGGCGCTTTCTGAGCGCTAAGTACCGCGGGCGCACGGGTGTAATCGAATAATCTGGCAACTGCCGCCGGCAGAGGGCGCGGTTTTCAAAATGGCGTTGCAGACTGATTTTAGCAATATTGATGAACATTGTGTATCCGAAAGTATTATTGTTTAGAACAAAGATACGATAAACTTACCGTTAGTTAGACGGTCACCGATGAGACAACAAAACTCTATTGTATGGCATTATCGTGATATACGTCGACCCAACTCATGTAATCCTACCGACTTATTTAACATTGGAAAATCAAAATATGGACTAGAATGTGTTGATTCGCCCCCAATGTGCGTACAGCCAATTGTCAGTGACATTTGACACTGAATGAGATTTCTCAGTTCGCTGTACAAGTCACCAACGTAGTGGTAGATGGGCTCGTCGGGGAAATTAAATTTTATATGATAATATATAGGAGATAAATCGTGGATTTTGTAACAGCTTGTTGCATCTGTTTGTTCGCTCTATCCGTGTCGTACTGTATTTACAAACGAACTGGGGTAAATAAAATAAAGTCGAATGGGAACGTTAGGTGAATAAGAACTTCTGGTTCTGCATTGAAGCTGTCGAAGATGTGGATTAAGAACCCAAATAAAATCTTACTTCTTAAAACTGCATTCCAGGTATTTTATTTACCAGTTACTTGGGTAAAACATATTGGTTTGATGTTTATATTCATATATGTTTAATTTCAGTATATTCTGGACAGTTATTAAGGGGAATAAATTAAATACATCGGGTAAGACATGTCACTATATTGCCAAAACGGCAAGAACAAAGTCTCATAAATCACAAAAAATAATTAATTACCTATAGGGTTAGAAAAAAATCGAGTTACTAAAATTAGTATGTGCACTGGTGCAATATCGTTCACGCGCACTAGTATATTGTATGTCATCCGGGCGGCATTGTTATCGTCTTTCAAATTTTATTCTGACACTAGAAATGACGTCATAGCTGAAGACTGTTGACGTCATTTGACAATTGTGGTTTTCTAATAAGGCGGTTGTGATCTGTGCATTTCTCTAAAGGAAAGCTGATGGATTAGGAAGTAATAGGTAACAAAGAAGTTATTACACTCGCATGTTTGTCATACTGATTTTACGAAACTCGTCTCAAGGCTCCCCAACACTGACGCAGCGCGCGAGCGGCGCAACGCGACAACGCGTTTTTTCTCCACAATAACGCGCTGCTTTACCGCCCATACTGAAGCGGCGCGTTAAAGGAAAAATTATGGTTTTATGCCTTTGACCATTCGTGAAGGATATCAATATATCACGGATCCAATTTTATTTAACAGTCTTTTATTTGCTCCAGATCCTGGAGAAATTGTATCCAGTATTTCTTCGTTAAATGTATTTTGATAATAATGATACGAGTACTTATCACTTGAACCCTCAAATGTCGAACTGATTGATTTCCAGGCATTTAATGCCATTTCATTGTCTTTGTAGTGGGGTGAATCCACATTGTACAGAAAAGGGTATTTCTGTATTTCAACTATTAATTTCTCCCCGTCAATGTTTTTGTTTGGCATTTTCTGTCTATTTTGTTAGCAATTAATAAAACTGTCCTCAACCACGTGTTGTGTTTTGTGAAAGGAAGTGACATCACAACTAGGGGATCCCCCCATGCGTCGGGGCGTCACGCGTTAAAAATCGCTTTTTGGGCGATTCAAAAATCACGACGCCCGCGCGCCGCGTGAGCTTGGGCAGTTCATTGAAATAGCACTGTTGCGATTTTTTTACGCGGGCGCGCCGCTCGCGCGCTGCGTCAGTGTCGGGGGCCCTTAAGAATAAATGTATTACCCTCGCTCTCGTTCGGGAAAAACAATATTTCCTGGGGTATTTTTTTTAGTCAACACTTGGATATTCCTGGTTATGTTTATTGACCAAAAGTAATCTATGCATGCATATTGTATGATTCAACTAAATGGATCGGTGACTTGGTGGATTGTGTTTCATTGTACCCCAGCGGCCATTCGTCACCACTTGCCCCTTTCCGTAACCTGCTTGTCCCGGAATAACACGAGTTGGTCACGAATGCCCATGACGGCATGGGACGTTGTCCAAATCAACCACTGGTTAAGTTGTCAGGGACAAAATCGATTATTTACAGGCCGCCCTGATATTGCTGGAATATTGTAGACTGCAGTAAAAAAAAAAAAAATCGCAATGTTTTAGATTTATTAAATAGAAGATAGACACCTATGAAAATATCTAAATTTACGTTTCCAGTTTCGAAAAATGAAGGCAGAGACCATACTATTATATGGTCTCTGATGAAGGTTTATATCGCATAATAATCCATGTCAAATGTTTACAAAAAGAAATCATATGAGTGTTATTGGGACAAAACAGCAACTTCATACCAAATTATATTATACATGTATCTTGTTCACAAACAGACGCATGAAAAGGAATTTTTCTGTACTGAAATTAACATGGGTTGCAAGGGAAAATACTCCGTGCTGCGAGGGGCTTCAAAATGCAGCTAAAACAATTGGAATATCCTGGTTTTAACAAGTGAGAAAGTCTTCCAATAAATGTATTTACTAATGTGGTGGCATCAAACTTCTCCACTGAGTGCGTGTATGTCTAACAAGTTGTTCCATGTCGAAAATGTAATGTTCACAGGACCCGCATTTGTCCAAGTCCGCCATCTCTATCCCTCGGCGTGCCTTCCTCCTCAGTATGCGCGGAGGCACTAGAAAGCGCTCTCAGCGTGCGTTTCGTTCATTTGGAAATATTCGGAGGTGCTCGCTGGCGCCTGGGCACCAAACGGCTTATTGAATGCACGCCTGTGTCCTGTGTGTTCACGTGTGTCCGCTCTGCATGATGCAATGTACACGAACCAACGTCTTTCATATGGCAAATGGAATAGCAGTTTTTTACCTACGCAAGCATGACCAGGTTTATGAACTCAATCAAAGACAAGTGGCACGTGAGAATAACGGTTGTTCGGTATATAATAAACTCTACACGACTTTAATTGTTGTTTTTTTATGACATAATGTGTATTGATGATGACCCACTACCACCATCGTCGCAATTTGATGCTTGCCATATATTCGATAAATATGTACAATGGTGTTATGTTGCCTCAAGTGATGCTTATTGACACGTACACCTGCTATAGAATTGTTTGGCTTCCAGGGAGCATTTTGTTTGGGATGCTGACCCCCTCCTCCCCTGAATCCCGAATACCATCCATGTTTTTCACCGTGAGTCTCATTGCTCACGCCAGAATCCGGAATACTATTTAACCTAAACCTCAAAAGCATTGAGAAAATTGTGCAATTTGAAGTTAAAATGCTGAAAAAATATGAAACAAATAAAACACATAAAAGAACATTTTATGTACACTATTATTGTTTCTTTTACCGATTGAATCTCACCAAATACGATTTTATTAGCGTCCCGCCTACCCCACTGATGAGTCCCGAAATTCCTCTAAATATACCCCCGAATCTCTCGTATCTAAAAGAGTGTGTGGCAGCCTCTTCTTTGTCAGCCCCATAATCGTGCTTGTGTGTTTCTTCAACAGAGTGAGTGAGTGAGTGAGTATGGTTTTACGCCGTTTTTACGCCCAGTCGTCTTAGGCGCCGCGATTCGCTGTGCAGAGTTGCGTCCCTCGGGCACGCCAGAAACCTATGATTGTTTGTTCGAATCCCGGTTCGCCTCGATTGTTTCTAGATTTGTCAGCACCCTACCCGTGCTCTCGGGTTTCACCGAAGTGGTAAACGTCTGAGACCTGCATCACTTCGGGCTTTCCTCCCCGGTAAGCTGACACGCCGTGATATAACTGGATTCTGTTAAAAGCGGCGTTAAACCCAACTCACTCTCTCTCTCTCACTCAACTGAGGGGCCAGTGTGTGACTATGACACCTTGGAGTCTGATGTGTCATTTATTGTTCGCTCGTCACACCAAAGACCCGAGTTCGAGTCCCCACATTGATACTTACTCCTGTGCATTTCGCTACTATGTGTGAAGCCAAAGTATGGTGTCCCGCGCCGGGATTTTGCTGAAATACAGCTGATGCTCATTTAGCTGACACGCCGGATGTCACCGAAACACTGATATAAATATGGTGTTATAAGCGATATTTTTGCTCAAGTTGGCAGTTCTGGATACAGAAACTCTGATTCAAGACATTGAAAACCCATTCTTTTTCTGCTCATTATCCTGCCTTATGTACAGCAATCTATCAGCTTATCACCACCCTGTGTTATGTTGTCACCGCCTCCCAGCTTGACTCCCCAGCTCCATCCCAGCGCGTGACCGTTACCCTCCCGGTATCATCGCTGCCACCAGTTGTTTGTTAGTATTCTTATTGGGAAAAATAAAGTGCTCCCCCTAATAACCTTTGTTTGTAATATGAAAAAAAAACATATTTATAAAAGCCCTACCCCCCTCCTCACTTTTTGGGGGGAGAAAAATGTTCCCGAAATCGTCGTAGCAGGCGACTAAATGGATCGGGTGGTCAAGCTCTTTCAGGACTGAATCTCTCCTTTCATGGACGACCCGTGAAGATCCAGTGTAGAATAGGTCTTCAGCAACCCAGGCTTGTCGTAAAAGGCGACTAGGCTTGTGGTAAGAGGCGACTTACGGGATCGGGTGATCAGGCTCGCTGACTTGGTTTATGCATGTCAAGACTCGATTATTTACAGACCGCCGTCATATATCTGGAATATTGGGGAGTGCGGCGTTACTCAACAAACCAACCAACCTTTCATGGACAGCTTGGCAAATAGTACACACATTTTTCATGAATTAATTACAATAACATTATGAAGGAATATCACATCCACCTATCTAGAGATGTATAGAAGTATTTCTAAACAATGATACCAATAACATGGTGACACTATGTTCATAGTCTTGCTTGCTTGCTTGTTGTGGCGTCTCAGTGGATGGGGTGGTCAGACTCGGTCACTTGGCTGATTGCGTACCATCGTACACCGTCCGCGTGGATCGGTGGTCACAATGTCAATTACTGGTTTGTCTGGTCAGGCAGACTATACAAAGACTATGTAGACTCCCTGGCCCATTGATGTCTCGATTATGTACAAGCAGCCGTCATATAGGTGGAATGTTGCTGAGTGCGGCGTTAAACAACACACATGCTTAAATATTCAAAGCTCGTTCAAGTTTAAGGTGTTAAGAAAAAAGGAAGAATTACAATCTTGTCTTCTAATGTCTTTGTATTTGTTTGTTGTTTAACGCCGCACTCAGCAATATTCCACCTATATGACGGCGGTCTGTAAATAATCGAGCCTGGACCAGACAATCCAGTGATTGACATCATGAGCATCGTTCCAAGCAATTTGGATACGATGACATGCATCAACCAAGTCAGCGAGCCTGACCACCCGATATCGTTAGACAAGCATAGTCGCCTTTTACGGCAGGCATGGGTTGCTGAAGAGTGAGTGAGTTGGGTTAAAGGCCGCTTTTAACAGTATTCCAGTTATATCGCGGCGTGTCAGCTTACCGGGGTGGAAAGCCCGATGTTATGCAGGTCTCAGACGTTTACCACTTCGGGGAAACCCGAGAGCACGGGTAGGGTGCTGACAAACCTAGAAACATAATCGGGGCGAACCGGGATTCGAACCCACAACCATAGGTTCCTGGCGTGCCCAAGGGACGCAACTCTGCACAGCGAATTGCAGCGCCTTACACGACTGGTCCACCCGTGCCCACTACTTTGATTGTGGTCTGCCCTAACAACTAAAAGGTATGATTGGACTGTGTGATGTGTGTTAGATAAAGTGCTGCTCATCGTATACAGTAAATGTAATAATGCAATGATATATTTGTTTCATTATAGATTCTTGACATTGCATATATCATTAACTTTACCTTACTATATTAGGTAGGGTATATCCCCATCATCTTTCAATATTTCTTGTGCTCGGATCGTCATCGCCCCGATGGAACTACAGACTAGGGGTGGGACGGGTCAAAATTTACTACCCGGGTACCCACCACCCTATTACCCGACCCTAACGGGATACCCGCTGTTGATATTTAGAGATAGGTACAAACTGTCCGATTTGGAAAAGTTTGACCATAGCCCTGGCAAAATGTATTTAGATAAACGTGTAAAACGATCCGCTCATGCATACACTGAAGTTTAATGCATGAAGTTTTATCCTTATTCAAACATATAAAAGTCAGAAGGAATAGGTGCATTGTCAGAAAGAAATGGGAATATTTGTGACTTATAGTGTAACCATGGAGTTTTAGATAAGTTTTGTCATTAAACAATATATATCACGTGACTAAGCACGGGTCCACGTAGTCCTATGGGTACCCGGGTCCTACTCAGGCCCACCCGACCCGAGTACCCGAGTTGCCCGTCCCAGCCCTACAGACCACAATCCCATGAACCCCCAACACATATTCATCGTTCATCCAACCTAGACGTTATAATACCTCCGTCACATACTTTTGTCATGGTCCATGAATACCATAAAAAGTAGTAATGGAGATGGAGAAATCGGGTGTCTGAAAAGGAGCAGTCTGATTACCGAGCTGAATTACTTCCCTTTGACCACACACTTTCCCCGTGGAATTTAATCGATTGAATTGTCTCCCTTTGACCATGGTAACACTTTGATGATGACCGAGATGATGTCCATTTGTCATTCTAATCTAATAAATAAAAAAACTTGTTTAAGAAATTATCTAGATGTAAACCTATGGAAAAAGTTTTTTCCTTGTTCGTAAATTTAAAATCGTATCCCGTTCGATTTTGCTCGAGACTGCATGTCAGAAGATATATATTTTTTGTTTTAAAATTATGTTTTATGTTTTATTACCTGAAATAGGTCAATGGTAAGAATATTTTGCTACATGTGCTTTCCTCTTAGATCCTTTACTGCAATGTGTGTAAATTTCGGTTTTCGGGTTCAGCTCGCTCTCAGTACTCGCCCGCCTGACCCTCTGTGGGAAACATTGGAGAAAGAAACACAAGGGCGCCCTCAGAGCTTCTGAAAGAGGTCATGACATGGTCGCATGTTCAATTATCACTTATTTAAACAATACTTACAATGTAGCTAATCTACCGTGTTGAGTGGATGAATGTAGAGTTTACCTGGAAGTTTTGAAAGACATGAGTACGCAGAAATGAATAATATTACATAACAGTTTTCTCAGAGAGCAAGTTATCATAGAGTAACGTTTACTTCTCTCTCCGGACGGAACATTCGTGGATTCGGGCGGAAGTCATGCTGAAGAAAATGTTATATATTTTGAGACTATGACAAACGTATGAAATAACCCAGTCTCCCTATCAAGAGTTGAGTAGCATATATGCTGGAATATTGCTTAATGCGGCGAAAACTCTGCCTTTCTGTTGTTTTTGTTTTGAAAAACAAATATTTCATCTTCTGATGATCTTATCTATTGTACTTATACTAATGCACTTGCTTATCAGTTTTAAGATGAACAAAGGTAGATTATATAACATTGTAAACGTAAGAGATTGCACAGGTTTCGCACCTGATAGAACACTGACCCTAGGAAGTGACCTAACACTAAGTGGACAGTGATGTAACCTCTGATCTCTGACATTCAGATCAAATCGGTTACGATGGTAAATAACGTTCACCTGAATGACAAATTCGTGACATGAATAGATGTTAAATATTGTATCCATAAACATGACGAGGGGAGTAAAAAACAAATAACATATCAAACAAATACATAAAGTATCAAACAAATATATAAAGTATTGAATGAATAAATACAGTATTAAATAAATAAATAAAGTATCAAAGAAATAAATAAAGTATCAAACAAATATATAAAGTATCAAAGAATAAAATAAAGTATCAAAGAAATAAATAAAGTATTAAATAAATAAATAAATTATCAAAGAATTAATTAAAGTATCAAACAAATATATAAAGTATCAAAGAATTAAATAAAGTATTAAACAAATATAATGTATCAAACAAAAAAAGAAAGTATCAAACAAATATATA